GAGCTAGTTTATTGCATACATAATATATATAGCTACTATAATTTCAAAAACAAATTATTATTCTTTTCATTTTCACAAGACTAACTGCCTTCTCTACAAAATATTGCAAAAATAACATTTAATATTGCTACTAGTGTTATGATTTGACTTTCCTGAATGTTATTCTGCAATTAAAAATCAATCCATCACAGCCAACTAAATAATAAATAAACCAAGCAATACTACAACACATTCTTCTATTCCTTTATAAGTAGAACTATTTCCTCATCAATAAATAAGTTAAATTTGATAGCTTCTAAAAACACCCCCCCCAACAAATTCCTTCTGTTTCTGAAGAGCAAAGTCAGGATAATGTAACAACAGCAACAAAAATCTCCAAAATTTACTTAACTAAATTTAACCACTTATCTATTAGTAATGATCCCTAAGACTGGATCACCAAATGACCAATAATTTCTTCGTGGAAGACAATAACATCAATTTGTTGTCAATAAAGTGTATGCACATTCCTTTAGAGAAGCAGTTTTCAACCTGTGGATTGGTGTCCCAAGAACCTTTCACAGGGGCTGCCTAAAACCACCAGAAAACAGGTATTTACATTCCAATTCATAACAGTAGCAAAATTACATTTATGAAGTAGCAACGAAATAATTTTATGGTTGGAGTCACTGCAACATGAGGAACTGTGTTAAAGGGTCGCAGCATTAGGAAGGTTGAGACCATGTTTTAGAGGACTAAATGAGAGTTCCATTGAGCAGGTCTCTTTGTGTCTAATAGAACACATCTGACTGCTGACTGGGTTATAGGTGACATCTGTAGTTACAGCAGAGAGCAAACAAATTCACTTGTGTGGGCTGAGTACCACAATCTCAGCCTCAATCCCTCCAACAATAAGCTCTTTCCAAGGAATGTGATGGACATTTATCCTAGAGTTTTTCTTTCTGCATTTTCATTAACTTTTGGAGTCCAATTCCTTTCATATCTGAAGCAAACAGGTAACCGTCTAAATGGAAATGCTCACCACATACTGCAGCACTCCAGGAAATTTTAAAGGGAACAGACACAGAGTGGTGAATAAAACATAAAGGCACCTGTAGACAGTTGCTGTGTTCTTAGTTTTACAACATTAGCAGCTAAATCCACCACAATTCAAGGCAGAAGAAACAGAAAGTCCCTGCAATGAAGGTCTCTTCCTGACGCACCATGACACCAGATATTAGAATGGGAAGTTCTAAATAGATTCTACTTACTAAGTGTTTCCTAGGTTCCAAACTTTAAAACATCTCATTTAACCCACGTAATTATTGCTACAATTATACAGAGTAGAAACAAAGACTCCAGAAGATAATGAAGTTAGGCCACTCGGTCTGTCAGTGACTCAGTGACAAGTCAGGACTCAACTCAGAGTCTCCCAGCACAGAACTTCTGCTCTTACTATGCACATCTCCCTCGGGTTAGTGGCTTCCACGCTGTTTGCGGCATTAAACAGAATTCGAACCTTCAGTTCTCTTTCCCCGGAGTTTCAGAAAGTTTTTTGCTTGTTTGGTACTAAAATGACAGCAACTTCCCCATACCCTAGCCTGTCCCCTTCCCTCCTTCCCGCCGCTTTCATATACAAAGAGAGCACAGACTTTGTTCTTGTATTCAGACTTCTTTCCCTCTCATGACTACTGCTAGGAATGCTACAGGCACATTATCTCTCCAAGAACAGACACAGAACTCCTCTGCCCCTTCCCCTTTGCTCCAAGTGGCTGATTACCGACAGGCCTGGGCTGTTGATCTCAAAGCTGGAGGACAGTTGTACATGCACAATGAGCCAGGCAGAGCACCCACTTTCTTCTCAGCCTTAGGCCACCAGCGCTGAGAAAGGGCCTGCCAAAGCAGGGTGTCTGCGAAGCACACCTGAAAAGAATCACTGGACCCGGTTATTAAGGAAAGCTTGAATTTAAGTGCTTTGTAATACATATGCACAACATGAAAAGAACCACGGTAAACTGCCAGAACCAGAGGGCTTCTCAAGGATTTGCTTATTTGTAGCTTTGGAAATAATCAGTGAAAACTAACATTCACAAAGTTAAGCTGATTCTGTGATTCATTACACCCTGTTCATAGAATAATAAAGTGTTTGTCACATAATTCAGAAAAATGAAGCATTTTTTTCTCTCTCTCTCAAAACAATGCCCAATGATGATGAGTATGTGCTGGTACATGCCTTTCCAGGGTACAGTTTCTAGAATTCAGATGGTGGAAGTGGGTGCCACCCAACATGCTGGATCTTACCAAATTTTATTTGAGTAATAAGAAACAAAATAATTAAAAGCCATATGACCTGTACTTAGACTACAGGAACTCTCTGCACTTGAATGTCAGTCACTCCAGAGCATGGAGAGTCCTCCTTAATGACCAGAGCCAAACAAGTGGTGTGTATACAGATTTAGAAAACATGTATAAACACAATATTCATTCTTTAACATAAACCTGAATTCAAATAAATACAAATAAATATTTACATTTTAAGAAGTAAAAAGGTATAAGATCATTATAGTTGAAGCTTTTCTCCAGTTCTTTGAAATTATTAAAATAATTCAAAAGTTAGGAAAGTAAATATGTCATAGACTGTAGATCCAAGGCTACAGTCACATTAGCAATAATTTATTCAACTCTATTTTTGACCTATAGTCAAGACAATATACCAGAGATCTTAACTCATTGCTATGGGAAAGAGTTTACTAACCTGTTTCAGATAGCACTCACTCTGTGGGTAATTCTACTTTTCGGCACACCCAGGACTCACTAGACACGTGCCTCCATTTCTTACCAGCCAGGTGTGGCACTAAGCTCCGGATACTTGATGCTCTCTAGATTTTTTATTTCCACTCAGATATAAAGCATTTCACTATTTTTACATGAACATGATAAAATGAATTATTTTGGATACTTTAAATTGAATAGTATGTATTAGTAAAAAAAAAAAAAAAATTCCACCTGTTTCTCCTAATTTTTTGAATGTGGTTATTTGAAATTTTTAAATTATATAGGTGACTCCCATTATGTTTCTATTGAAAAGTATTGCCTGCCTATGTTGCCCAATCTAGCACTCAACTGGCTCTAATGATGTAGCCCTGTCTGGTCTTAAACTCAATCAGTGGCTGCAGCTCCCGAGGGCTAGGAGCTGAAGGTATGAGCCACCACACACAGTGACACTCTTTAAATTGAGAATCTGCTCTTTACTCAGCCCATGTAATGTTTTTGTCCTGATCTTGTTTCTCCAATTATATTAGACACAAGTAATAGACAGGCAGTTGCTTATTTACTGGATTTCCTTCATTCATTGAAAACTACAGGCAGTTATGGCAGTATACACCTGTAATCCCAGCCTAGAAGGGAAGAAACAGGAGGATCAGGAGTTCAAGGCTAGCCTTAGCTACTTGAGACTTTCTCAAAATAAACAAACACAAAAGACAAAGCACCAAGAGTAATATCTTAATCATTCATGATCCAGAAACATGTCTGTTTGACAAGAAAACCAAAATTCCGCCAAAAGAACTTCTTTTATGTCTACTTGTTTTGGTATTTTTGAGGATATTTTTTGTCTGGTATTTGGAGTGTGTGTGGGGGGGGTGCTTTGGATGTTTTTTTTTTCTTTTATTCCTTGTTTGTTTTGTGTTTTTTTCCCCTGTGCTGTTTGTCTGTTTTGAGATATAATATTACTACATAGCCCTGGTTGGCATAGAACTTATAACATAGACCAAGCTGACCTTGTCTCAACCTTTCAAATGCTGAGATCACAAGAATGAGCTACCATGCCGGGCGTTGGTGGCGCACGCCTTTAATCCCAGCACTCGGGAGGCAGAGGCAGGCGGATCTCTGTGAGTTCGAGGCCAGCCTGGGCTACCAAGTGAGCTCCAGGAAAGGCGCAAAGCTACACAGAGAAACCCTGTCTCGAAAAACCAAAAAAAAAAAAAAAAATGAGCTACCATGCACAAGCCCAAAGATGTCTACCACAGAAATAGCTGTAGGGTGAACGAATATATGTAAGAGAATCTTACATTGTATTTTTTGTTTGGTGTAGGAGGTGCTAAAAACCATGGTACCCAAGACCTTTCATGGGCTACACCCCAAACCCAGATTATTCTTTTCTAATCACCAGTATTTTATTCATCAAACACAATCACCCAGCAGATACCTTCCCCCATCCCACCACAGCATTGAGACAGTCCTAAATGGCCTCTTAAAATTCAGGATAATTTCTGACTGTTTAAATGCAATATGGAAGTACACCCAAGCAGGGTCCCTACTGGCATCATAAAGCTCAGATCAGTTGAGCAACTACTTTGTCAGTTTTCTGAAGAACAACATAACTACTAAACTCCAATCACACAAGAGAAGTTCATTCATTCCAGGTAATAGATGCTTTCAGTCACTAAGGCTTAATTTTATGTGGAGCATAGTCATGAAACAGTGAGGCCCTAGTATTGCCTAGATACCAATGATTAAGAGTCATACCGTAGGAGAGAGAAGTACAGCTCAGCAGGTAAGGATGTCTAACCACCTGAGCTAAGTCCCAGAACCCACAGAAAGGTGGAAAGAGAGAAGCAAAGTTGTCTGCTGACCTCCATGGGTACCCTGTGACATGTCCTACATGTATCACACACATAATAAGTGTTTTTTAATATTTATATATAGTTGTTGTTTAGGAGCTATAAAAATCAGTGAAAACAAGTTCTCAAAAAGAAAATTCATGTTCTGTCTGGCAGATTGTGCAATTATGCTCTGAAAAGACTTCGACAAGTTACTGGAAAAGCAAGACAACAGGGAATGTGTTGTGTCAGTTATGGCTTGAACCTAATGCTTAGTTAATGCACTAAACATTAACTATCTTCCAATTACTGTAAAATAGTATGAATTCTGTTATTTCAGTTAGCTCTTAAAATACCCTTGTTACCATAGTTACACTGATTACAGCCATAATTATACTTGGCAATTTAGTCATACTTTACCTAAGTATATCAATCCAAACCCTCCAGAGCCGATCATCTTGCCCAGTGCCCACTGGTTTCCATCCATATCATCCAGAACTTTGCCTTCTGGGAGTGGAACCGGAAGCTTGTATTTCTCTTTTCTTCTTGGTGCCATCACATCTACTGGCAGAGGGATGAGATAAACAGTTAAAAACAAAACTAGCACTAAAACTCATTTCTTCCAATGTTTTCCGCAGAATTAAGATTAGGATCCTTAAGTCAATTCCAACTAGAGAAGCCCATCTACCAAATTCAAGTTGGAAATCCATATACTTTGAAATCTAAGAGATACTGGCATGTATGTAATACACATATAATATACCTATTGGGGCTAGAGAGATGGCAGGTGGTTAAGAGCATGCAATGCTTTTGTAGAGGACCTGGTTCAGTTCCCAGCACCCACACACAGCTTGCAAACCTCTGTAACTCCAGCTCTGGGTGTCTGGTGAATCGACCTTTTCCACTGGCACCTGTACTCACAGGCACATACCCATACACAAACACACACACACACACACACACACACACACACACACACAACCAAAAATTAATCTTTAAAACGTATCTACTGTGTTTCATTTAAAGCAATACTTTAAAACTCCACTCAAGGGTTTATTGATACTTAGCAACACTACAGAACACACCTCCAGAAAGTTATCTCATACACATGGAAATAATCATTTGTTGAGAACACTGTTAACATGTGGCTATTGAGGAGCAGGGCTTTAAATTCAAAGGTCAGACACTCTGACCACCAAGCAAAACACTCAGGAAGGATTGTTCAACGAGCAAGGGTTTTCCTGGTTATCTAATCTGGCAGATCAGGCGACTACTTTTGGTTTTTCTGACATGCTCTTTTACTCACTCCCATCAATGTGAAAACAGCACATTGGACATACAGATAACAGGAATTCCATATAAGAAAACCATACAACCTTAATTATCATTGGATACAAATTAGAAAATTACTAATAGGAGCTTTCGGGGGTTGGCCAAAAACATTTCTAAGGGGTATATAATTAAATTAATAAATATCAGAATAAGTACTTGAAACTAAGCATGAAAGTAACCATGTTCTTCCTATTATTTCTAGACAAAAGTCAAAAAAACCTGATAAATTCTGCTTCAGTTTGGTTTCCGTTGCTGTAATAAACACCACAGACAAAAAAAAGTAACCTGGGACAGAAAGGGTTTTTTTCATGTTATAGTTTGCAGTCCATCCTGAAGGGGTGTCAGGGCAGGAGCTCAAAACAGGAATTCCAGGCAGGTACTGGAGCAGCCGCCAGGGAAGAACCCCGCCTGATGGCTCCTTCCCTACCGGACTGGCTTGGCGGGCTCCGATTTCTTACACACACAGGACCTGCCCAGAGGTGGCACTGCTCACAGTGGGCTGGGCCCTCTTCCATCGTCACCCCAACAGAGGGCCCGCCCGTGGGCCAATTTAATGGACGCATTCTTCTTATTTAAGTTCCCTCTTCCCAGATGACCCTGGGTGAAAAGTTAACAACAACGAAAACTAACCAAGACAGACGCTCTCGTGAAAATGATTCATAAATACACACAGTACACAATGTCCCTCTTAAAGCGTCCCAGCTTCGCTTGAGTAGAATTTTCCCTCCTGCACTTACTGAACCCATAACAGTATTCCGACTGCACACGACCCGGAGCAGAGCGGGAAATCTAGTGTGAACCCCTAGGGCACGGTGCTGAAGTAGGAGGGGTGTCACCGGGTGGCGCCCGCGCCAGAGTTGATGGCGGAAACTTTCACGACTTCCTACAACAACTTTTGAGCGGGCAGCTGAAAAGACACACGAAGTCTGGGGCACCGGATGGCACCGGGTGAAGCGCTCGCCGGGCGCAGATCCCTCCCCGCGAGCGGCGAGCGGCGGCCCCGACCGACCGGACGGACAGCCCCGGGGGTGCAGGTG